TTGGGGCAGGGATGACAGCGCACCCCATGGAACGAATAGTACACAGATCACGCACCTTATTCGACATATGACCTCTAGCCAGAGGACTAGAGGCACGCACATGATTAATAATGGTACGACAAGCAGAGGAAACCGTAGAAACCTTCTCCTCAAACCGCAACTTATTCCTTAAATCTAAAATTAGCCACACAGAAGGTTTGTTAAGGCACAAAGCGTGCTTGAAATCAACCCTTTAAATGAGTTTTTGCCGAAATCTATCTTGGTGAGCATAGAAGCATTGGAGAGGTTGGGGATTACTCCGCTGAGGCCAGCTTCTGCAATATAGAGGACTTGTAGGTTTGGAAGCCCAAAGCCTATGTTTGCTGATTAAAACTAAGCTGCATATCACTCTTATTGTGGAGATATTAAAGATTGAGGATGGGATGAGGCCATTCAGATTATTACCACCAACTGTAAAAACCTCTAAATTTTGAAGATTACCGATCTCAACTGGTATAGTGCTTGCAACAACCCTTGCATGTTTAACTTTGTGGCCTTAGCATTATTACTACAACAATTTCATTATACATGGATAGATGTTATCTAATCTAACCACATGTACTCATAATATTAATTAATACAAACAATATTTACACGAAAAATCTCTGTTATATTCATGTTTAACTATCTCCCTCATTTACTTAAACGCAGTCAGTGCAGGGCACTGCCTGGACTTGACTTGTGATAAAGGAACAATGGAGAAGAATGGAGCAAGGACAGGCGTCCACTCAGCCCCAGTCCAAACTAGCTAATATCCTGTTCATTTGAAACTAATTTTTAATAACTTAAAAGGAAAATAAATAGATAAATATATAATTTTTAATAACCAAGTAAGTAAGAAGCTTTGAATTTCTTTATCATGACTTCTTGTTCCATATCTATATATTATTGTATTTTAAATAGAATAAGTGCACATGAATTAAACATACCAAAACATAACGGCATGCTTCCTCTACATTTTCGACGACCCATTAATTGAAGCGCTGCTGAACAAGAGGACGACATAGCTTCTTTCATATTTGTCCTCTCTTCTGGTGATTCTGCACAGCAAGTAAGAGCTAATCTCAGATGATAAGAAATCCTTCTTCCTCACATGATCATCATCTTTCTGCTCTGTTCCAATTCCAAGCAAATTGGCATCCACAACTTCATCTCTCTTTCCATCTGGTAATACTAGTGAGTCTGCAATCCATTGCTTTAAATTCATTTCCCCAACAAACATCTCATCCGTTGCCTTCTAGTGAATGTTTCCATCACTACAATTCCAAAACTGTACACGCGCCCACTTGTTGAAACTATTCCTTGAGATTGTTGCTTGAGAGATCAAGGGTGCTCATCTGTGACATGTTTCGAGGTACTTCCATGATATGATCCCGCTGAGATTTTTGGAGGGGAGCATTATTTCTATGATGGGCGGGCGTGAACAGTTGGATTGATGATCTTGTTGTTGATGAAGCCAAGATAGATTGAAACCTGCTACTGATTTGAAAGCCATAAAGATGTGTTCTTGGTCTGTGCCGTTGCATGTAGATTCTGCTATTGCAATCAGCACCAGAAGAACCAAAAACCTCAACAAGATTCTCATTTTCTTTTTGTGCAACTGGGTTTCAGTTCTCAAACTCTGCTTCCTGTTTTGTGTCCATGAGAGAGAGAGAGAGAGAGAGAGAGAGAGAGTAGTGAATGAAATGGAGGAGGGATGGAGAAAACAGGGGCAGGCACTCGTCAATGTTATGGGTTTAATAAGTTGAGCAAGTGAAGTGGGAGATTAAGGCGTTAAGTTTAACGGGAAAATCTAACGGCGGAAGGAAGTGTAACAGTTGGAGGACAACAGAAGTCGGACAGGTTTGGTTGACTAGCTGCTCTGACTCACTCAAGGTTCTTAAATTTCACCGGTGACTGATGCGGTGATTGCGAAATTTCTTTCAATTTTTTCCCAGTGAAGAAATTCTACATGGCTTATTTAGTTTCAAAACATCTTTGCCTTTTTCTTGTTTTGCTGGTAATTTCAGTCATTTGTTGTATTGTTTGGATAGATTTTGGCCCAGCCAGAGACGAATGAGCTTATTGGAGCTTTAAATTAATTGGCAGGGGAGGGGACTCCGGTCAAAAGAAAAAAGACCTGGCCACCTGGGGACCCAAAATTTTCAGAATGTTTATGGGTTTGCGGCAAATGATTGTTTTCTGTTTAGGGTTTAGTTTAGCGGAAAAGAGTATTGACTTGCAAATTAATGTTCTAAAGTTCGAACTCTCATGACACCTTGGTAGTATGTGTGAGAGAAACTTCTCCCATTGTAGTTTAGACTATTGCTTATACTTAAAAAATATATGATATTGGGTTTACCTAATATTCCAAATGACCTACTCTACTGTGTTTTAGTCTTGTTTTAGCAATATAAATTGTTTCAGGTGGGGGAAGAGCATTGGTGGGTGTTAGCTAATTACAGTTTGAAACTGAAAGGGACAGACAGACAGAGGGTGTAGTTGTGAAGATAAATTGTCAAGCATTTTCCTGTATTGGGCTTCTTGACATTTCCAAGTTTCTGGTTTAGAGCTTCTTGTCAAAGATTGGACACTCTAATTTCTGCTGGTATGGAAAATGGAGATGACAAGACAATTACTCTGCATAATTTAGAGCATTTTGAAATGTGTTGTTCCTTGTTTTGCATATACAATTTTTGCTTGTTGACTTCCCTGAATCTGTGCTGATATGGAAAGGAAAATATGTGTTTTCTTTCTTTTGGCTAAACTGCTGTGGTGTTTCGTTCTTGGATACCTCTTATTAAAAAGATATTTGAATCCAATATGCAATGTTGAATTTTAGACATTTGAATACCAGCCCCCATTGAATCCATGGCTATAAACATGCAGCAAATTCGCATTTACATCATGATCAAAGATGAACTTCATATCAGAAAGAAATAATGCCCTCCTACTATATTGACCTTTGACTAAAAACCTTATAGTCATATCCACCTCTGACCTCAGTCAAAGAGGTTCTTTCCTCTCTAGGAGTAATTGCAAGCATGGATGGACCTGCTGCTAATATGAAAGCTTTCCACTCAGCTCTTCAGTCCAAACCATTTGGTAAAATACCAGTTAATTTTTGTTAATTTTAGAGAGACGGCCCAACGACCCACTACTAGCTGAGTCCAATTTTTCTGTTACCAAATTCTTGCGCCCCCCTGTTTCCTCCTCCATTTTGTGACATGTGGCAAACAACTTAACACTAATTTAACTTTGTTAACTCTCTTCAGCCTTTTTTTTTTATAATTAAAACTCAATAAAACACGTTTGCACGCCTCTTGACCCTAAATAGGAAAATTGGACTCCTACTAACAACACCAATATTGTCCCCAACTAAATCACCTACAAAGCCCAATAAGTATAGGGTTTTATCACAAAAGGCCTCGGTATTATTAGTAGTAAAATCATTCATTATATTTTGTATTTTATTTTGTCATGTTTCTGATGTGGGATTCATATTCTTCAATAATTTTAAATTTATTTAAATAGCTTAGATGGAAAATAAATAAATATGTAATGTGTCATGCTTTGTGAGACCCTTGGAATTAGACTTTTAAGAGGTAGAGTGCAATTAATCAAAACTTTTAGTTATTGCTCTGCAGTCTGCATTTCTGCATCAAATAAATTCCATTGGATTTGGAAGGAGGGCAAGCAAACTTGATCCACTGATCACCACACCACCTATACAGGCTACATACATACATGACTTGAGTCCTCGTGGTCAAATTTACCTGCCCTGGCCACATGATCTTTGGCTCAGTTCAGCTAGGTGTTTTCTTCTTTGTGTGAATAAAATACATTAAATTTGAATCAATTTGGAGGTTTAGTTTAACATAATGCACATAAGGCATCACCTAATCCACAAAATTCCAAACCAAACCCTCCATGGAATGACAGCGCATTTGGATTGGAACTATGAAAAAAAACAAACCAACATTTGGGAATATTCTAAACATAATTTAAGCTAACAAACCTACTCCAACCAATTTTTTCTTTCTTTATTTATAATATCTTTGGTGACTTCTATTTTTTTAATATAAAATTAAAAGAACCTTTTTTTTTCTTCGAGAACCAGATATACAAATTCAATTAAATATTTTTGCTTTGTTGGGCTTAGGCCCATATATATCACATGTGTATGATTTTAGCTTTTAGGCTAACAGCTCCCAAATGGGTCCAAACCCAACTTGTTTGTTTACACAACAAAAATAGGGTGGGAGGCCTGGCTGCCATAATCATACTGATACCACAACAACAACCAAGACTAGTATATTATATAATAAGTCTACACACTCCGCCATATAATTGGTTCGAAATAAAATGGCATGCCTTCCTTTACATTGTGTAAATTAAAGACTGAAATTGAATCAAATCAAAGTGCATGAAATACATGTCATAAGATAGGACCCATTAATTGAAGCGCTGCTGAATAAGAGGACGGTTTAACAGCACACCTCTTCCTGCAGCAGCGTCCTTCAAAAACTTTGTCTTGATTTTGTTGAGTGTGGCTACAGCTTCTTTCATACTTATCCT